ATCCTGAACTGTCATGCTAACAAACCAACATACACAACGATGCAGCAACAACGACTAAATCCCAACGCCCCTGTATTCACCCCACGATCGAAACTAGCCCACCCGCTCTACCCCGCTTAGCCCTCCTCTGGCCGACCCGCACACATTGCATGTCCAGCGCTAAATCCATCAGCGTTCCCTTTTTTCCCTAAATCCCTGCGTGATTTAACCCTAGTATCTCTGAATTGTCGCTCTGTTGTCAACAAGTTGTCTGAGCTCTGAGTTATTGCCGAATGTGCTAAGCCTGACATAATCTGCCTAACAGAGACGTGGCTCTGTCCCTCGAACCTGCTCTCACTGTCAGGCTATATCTGCATCCGCAGAGATCGACCTCCGGAAGACAATCGGTCAGCACATTGTAGATGTGGGTATGGGGGTGTTGCCGTATTTGTCCGTTCGGACTCCTTTCCGTACGTCTCCCCTCGTGCCGACCTTCAACTGCTGCGAGTCTGTGTGGCTTGAACTTGGCTCCCCCTCTACTCAATCTCAGAATCCCATCTTACTATGCTGCATGTATCGACCACCCTCACAGAGCACAATGCAATTGTCGTACTTTTGTGACATGTTTGTTGAGGCATTACAGTCAGTCTGTTTAGATTCTTATGATCTGTTAGTGACTGGCGATTTCAACGCCCACAACTCAAGCTGGTGTCCCACCGATTCTACCTCGAAGGCTGGTGATCTCCTTAGCACAGTATTTGCTGCTCTTGGGCTCCACCAGATGGTTGACTTCCCCACTCATTCCTCGCCTAATGGCTCTGTTTCGTGTCTGGACTTGGTGATCACCAACCGACCACGCCTCGTGCGCTCAATTGATCAAGCACCTCCCTTGGGTATGTCTAACCATATACAGATTGTTTGCACTTTATGTTACGCCCCTATTTCGAACTACTTCCCCAACTCTTCCACTGGTCCTCCCTCTTCACTGTATCGCTTCAAACAAGAACCTTCGCACCTTTGGCAATTAATCAACGCTGATTTAGCTGGCTACAACTGGTCCTCTCTGAACTCGTACACTGATGTTAATGACGCACTTCATCACTTTGATTGTGAGCTCCAGTCCGCCTTCCGTCGTCACCTCACCTCATTCGGAGCCACCCACACTGTGACATCTCCACGACCCCGCATGCAATCTCCACCATGGGTTACTGCTGAGCTCAGGTCTGCTGTAGAACGCAAGCGTGATCTATATAGTGTGTACAAAAAATATCCGACAGCAGTAAATCATGCAGCTTATAACCGACAAAGGAATGCTGTAAAGCACCTGTCTCGGCAAGCACATCGTCAATATATACGCTCCATCCAAGCATCACTAACGTCATCGAATCGACCTACACTCTTTCAGTTTGTGCGAGAACAGCGGCACACTTCCGGCCGTGTCATGCCCCAAACGATGATAGCATCCGACGGTACGGTCGCCACGTCCCCCAAGAGCATAGCTGATGTTCTCAACACTCAGTTCACCTCATTTGGGCTACCTGATGATCCTTCGTGGCGCATTCCCCCTTTGTCCCAGTCGCCTTTCATATCTGTTCCGTTCCGTACAATCACTGTCACTACGTTTCAAGTTCGGAAATATCTGAAGCGCCTGAAATGTGGAAAGTCTCCCGGCTCAGATGGGATCCCGAATGAAGTGCTGCAGTCTCTTGCACCATCAATAGCCTATCCTCGCGCCATTATTTTTAATATGTCATTTCGAACTGGTACATTCCCACAGGATTGGAAATCCGCCATCGTGACACCGCTTTACAAGAATAAAGGCTCCCGTGCTTGCCCGGCAAACTACCGCCCCATCTCTCTGCTGCGCACAGTCTCCAAACTTTGTGAGCCTATTGTATTCGATTCCCTCTACCTGCACATCGCTCCGGCTCTCTCACGAGCTCAGTCGGGATTCTGCCGTGGTGACTCAACTCAATACCAGGTGACTCGACTTGTCCAAGACATAGCGACAAAGAGGAACTGTGGGGAGCACGTGGGAATGGTGTTTTTCGACTTGGCTAAGGCATTCGACACCGTTTAGCATCGTGGCTTACTTGCCAAGTTGGAGGTCACCTTCCGGGTGGAAGATGCTGCCTTGCGTTGGATATCCTCCTATCTGTCTGCTCGTTCTCAGGCTGTTCGCTTGTCCTATTTCTTGTCTGATCCCCTCCCTGTAACGTCTTGAGTGGCCCAAGGTTCAATTCTGGTTCCTTTGTTATGCTTGCTTTACGTTAATGACCTTCCTTCAGTTGTCCCCGATGTTAGTTTGTATGCGGATGACACTGGCCTTATCTGTTCTGATTCCTCCCCTGCACAATTACTCCTTACCATGCAGCATCGCATCAAGAGCACTGTCATGTGGATGCAAACGTGGAAACTCCAGCCCAATTTAGACAAGACAGAAGCCATGTATATTTCTTCATCCCCTCCTGATCAACCATTATTCTTCCCTGACTCGACTATGCCTATCCGTGTTGTTACTCAGCACAAACATCTAGGTGTGATGTTTGACTGCAAACTCTCTTGGGCTGCACATGTCAACTGTGTATGCAAGCGAACCAGTTCAGCATTAGGGGTACTACAACCACATTGCACTCATTTGCCCATCCAGTGTAAACTATTATTTTATCAGTGCTATATTCTCCCTATATTCGACTATTGCGATACCGCTTGGTGTGGCCTTTCTGACACAACTCTGAACCAATTAGAAGTCCACCATAGATTTATACTTAAAATTCTTTCCAACAAGGACCGATGTTTTCCTTCGGATGCCCTTTATCGACTTGCACACACTTCTCCTCTCTCCGTTCGTCATAAGCACCATCTCTGTACACTGGTTCATAAAATATTTCTTCATAAAACCCCTTCACACATGATGAAGTACAATTGGTTTTCGACAAGCTCAACCCGTAACGCGCTCATCCTGCCTCTTGTTAAGTCAGCCCAGTATCTAAAGTCCCCTTTGTTTTCCGGCTACTCTCATTGGTTATCATTACCATCCGGTCTGAAAACTTGTTCTTCTATTGGTCAGTTTAAAGATCTACTATCACAACTGAACTAGACGCAATAATTATCATCGAAGAACATTCTCGAATGCCTGGGTGATGCACGAATTTTGATAGTGCTCACTTCCGTTAATCGTTTTTCTTTGTAATTTTCCATTCATTTTCTGCTTTAATTCATATTTTGCTTTGTTTTCCTAGCTTACTATTGCCGTGGCTGGCTCAACGCCCTTGTCTCAGGGGACTCTGTCCCTGCATTAGCTATGCTTGTCACATGCTATGAGATTGTGTCTAATAATAATAAGTGCATTTTACATGTAAAATGTACATGTACATGTACATGATTAATCAACTGTGTGACAGCTGCAGTGAAGTTGGGCATCTGAAGACCAAACTGCTGTATTTATTTTTTGTACATGTATAATGCAACCATAGCCATCAGTGCTCACTTCGATTTCATAGTAATGGAACTCGTGTTCAATGGATTTAGCATTGTTGCTATGGTGGTTGCTACGGGCGCCGCGCTCGTTCTCATTGGTCATTGCTTGCCGAGATATTATGTGTTGGTCAATATTAGGACTAACCAACCTGTATTGCACCTATATTACACCTATATTGCACCTACAAGCCAGATTTAATAGCATTCTGAGTCAATATTGTAATGTTGCTAAGCGTTTGCTAGGCTTTCCGGAAAACCCTGTTGGTGCCACAGCAGTATGGCATTCCGCATACATCATGATGAAGGTTGGCGTATGACTTTGACGCCTCATATCTATGGTATCCTTCAAGATTTTTCATCCAAATTTTCTGTGCTATCTCCTGTACTGTAGTTCTTCCCGAAAACAAACAGTTTTCTTGGTTTACTACGAAAGAAAAAAATACGGTGATATCCCTACTATTGTGATAGCTGGATTGTCTTGCCAGTGAGTGTCTAAATCAGAGAATGAGCAGCATTGCATTCTCCATCAATATGACTTTACCTGTGCCGCGTCCGTACGTACGTAAGCGTGCGGCCAGAGATGAATCACCCTGGGATGCGCCGAGCACAGTGAGCCAACCGCTGCCACTGCACCGGCTGCCATTATAGCTGACGCAGTTGCTGTGGCTGCTACTTCAGTTACTCGGCATCCTCACTGTCCATCATTATGGTTTTGTCTTGAAGTAGGTAGGGCTGCTGGAGGATTCAAGCTTTACGAGGCACCCAAGAAAAAGAAAGACCCATTCTGGATCGCGAAGTCGCATATGATGCAAGCGCCGTATAAAACGAGTTGCTGTACTCTAGTCTAGGTTGCCGTAGAACACCAGGATCATATCAAGCATGTTATATGACATTTCTCCATTCTGAAGTCAACACTGACCAGTTATAGCACTGCTTGCCATTGCTTGTCTGATCTTTGTCGTCAATTGCCTAAATTGAATGAGTTTTGAGGAAAAATCGCGAAAAGTCGCATATCTAAATATGGTGTTATGAGTCTCGTACAATGAAATCCTACAAAATGTCTTTGGATTCGCAGTGCATATGTCCATACCCAACATCTCCAACCAATTTTGGATCAGAATATGCACTTTCAAAAATTGCCATTTTTGGCCCAGTGGGAGGTGATTTTCCGGTCAGGGCTGAAAGGGTTTAGCTTTACTTTCAAGAGGTCTCTTTTCAGCACTTAATCACAAAGTAAAAAATCTCTGACCAACCATTTCATCACCAGCACCCCAGATGATTGTGTCAGCGTTTCTATTATTTAAATTCAAATCATGAGTTAAGAAGTCTGAAGAAAATGTTGAACGGTCTCTGCTGGGATGACGACTACACCATAGCTCAGTGGTTAGGGCATCGCTGGCTACAAGCGAGGATCCCTGTTTCGAGTCCTGGTGGTGACAGTCAATTTTTTCTTTAGACTTTTCCCATTTGTGCCTTTCCCTCAAGCCAGTAAATTCAAGTCATAAGTATTTTTGGCGTTCGTGCATTTTTACTTACCAGTGAGTTCAATGATATAGTGATTATGGGCAAGTAATGCTACTGATCCACACGCGAAGACTGCTCGCACTCCGTCATAATTGATAATGTGAAGCTGGTAGATGAAGTTGCTGCTTGAATTCGAAATCAAGCGCTGGTACTCAGTTTGGGTGGGATCAGAAGCATTGTAAAAAGGAACCAGTCGTGGCACACTACTGCCGCCAACACCTAGGTGTACAAATCGTACCGTATTCGGGTCGGTAGTGTTGCATGTTACACCCGCTACATTGGAGCCAGGTGCATGGAATTCTACCAGAAAAGACAAAGCCACACAGTTCAGACACAAAGGCTAAGTTACGATGTGCTCGTCAGGTAACAATACCGTTTCAAGCACATTTTCAGTGCATAAGCACACTTTTCACTCACAGAGCAACTGTTCAGTACATGGGGTAGTGGTCTACCAGAGCAATCACACTCACCACCGTAGTGGTTTTCCAGAAATGAGTTGAAGCAAAACAATGGTTCAGTTCCGCAACGTTTTCTTGTCACACTCATCAATGGAATGTCATGACTGACAGAATCTGCCAGGTATTTTACGGCTATTATGTCCACATCGACATAAAATAATAAATTACTGGATAACATGAGGGAAAGAAGGCAGCTTAGAATAAGAAACCATATTGAATTGCAAACCAATAAGTTTCAAACCTCTTACAAATTGTCATGTCGGTTGGTGATGTCTACGGCATTCATACTTTTCACAGCTATCATTAAACTTTTATCTCCATGTAGATTAGTTGTGCAAGAATGGATTTGGATGGAGAGCCAGGGATAAATTTATAATTTATAGCGTAACTTGTAGTTTCTTGATCTCTTTTCTTTTATTATAGATTATTTGTATAATTTTTTGAATTTGTCCTAACACACTAATCACACAGCAATGACACAACCAAGTCTTCTTCTGCCGTTACTATTTAGAGACACTTAGATAGTGGAAAATAACACTTAAACAATGCAAGAAATCTCAAAAGTTTGGTAACAGGAAACCACACCTGTGAAAGCTAACAAATAAGAGGTGAAGACCAGGGGAACTTATAGGCAGGTACTTACAACTCTAGTGACAGATAAAGACAAAGCTGTGGCCAGGCATGACCACCAACACTATATATTCTACTATTTATACAGTTTCACATAAAAGATACCATCCTTTTCAATTTCAACACAAGTTAGGCTTATCAGTGCGTTGACACACAGCTTCTAACACTTCCACCTGCAACTTTACCCCATAACGTGCACGGCACAGAACAGAAAACCAAGAATCAGAGTACACTAGGCAACAGTCAGGACAAAATACCAGATGGTTATACACAGAAGACTTTCCACTGCTGAACACATGCAAGCAATTGCTCTCCTTCATCCACACTCTTTCCCTCACTGCTAGACTCTCCTCCGTTGGGGTTGTTCTCATCGCTGCTGGCCATTTTCGGTATGACCTTTCGTGCTGTCTACAGTAGAATGTGTAATGGTGTATGTTGCTTGATGCATTTTTTGTGTCCAAGATTCACGCAGCGTGGTGACCTCATCTCTATGTCTGTTTCGTTGATGATCCCTTCCCCTTTTTGGATACAAGCATAGTATAGTATAGTATTTATTCATATTTCTCTAGGGCAGTCCCCACAGACCTATGGGTACCCTAGCCAATCTAGGATTGCGATACGAAATTGACTTGGTGAAGCAGCAAGGCAGACCGATGCCGGAACTGAGTTCCAGCGGTCCGCAGCTAAATAAGAAAGAGAGGAATAACCAAATCGAGAGGAGGCTCGTGGCAGCACAAGTCCAAGCGAGACTTGAGACCTTGTGCAGGTGCGGCTACGTGCCTCAGAATTGGCACGAAGGCAGAAAAGGCGGCACAGAAGTGAACTTGCAGAAGAATGAACGCATCTGAATACAAGAAGATACAGTTTAAGGGAGAAACGTATAGTGATGGGTGTGAGGTTGTTTCGAGACAGAATACACTGGACATCTGCGGTGGGTGGGTAGCCAAATATAGTACGCAATGAACGGCGAGAGATGCGGGTGAGAGAATCATATTCATGTTGGCGCAGACTGTGTACATAAGCATTGCTTGCATATTCCAGTGTAGACTGGACAAAAGAGAGATAAAATATGCGTCTGGCTGCATTGGTCAACATGTTGCGGCAGCGCCGAAATGCATTCACTTTTGCACTGACCTTCTTTCGGAGTGCATCAACTTGCTGACGGAATGTCAAGTGCTCATCAATAATGATGCCAAGATACTTAGCACAAGATGATTGTTCGACCACAGTGCCACAGAACCGCAACTGACGGGATACCTGCATGGTGGGCTTCCGCAGGACAAGAGACTGAGTCTTTGCCGGGTTTAATTTGAGTTCCCTGGAGTGCAGAAACTCGCTGACTGAGTGCAAGTCTTTCTCAAGCTTTTCAATCGCTGCGTCGGCAGTCTTGTCTGCAGCATAGACATTTGTATCACCGGCATAGAGTTGGCTGGTGGAGAAAGCCAAGCATGTTGGAAGAGAGCATGTGTACAGGGTAAACAGAAGCGGACCAAGTACAGAACCCTGAGGGACACCACGGTTGGCAGGATACTGTTCTCCCGGGGGGGTTGCGGCGACATACAACTTGCTGTTGACGACTAGACAGGTAGCTGCAGAGCCAGGCCAGGGCTTTACCACCTATACCACACGCATGGAGCTCCAGGAGAAGTTTGCATGCTGAACACAGTCAAAAGCTTTACTGAGGTCCAACATCGCCACCACTACAACATTTCCATTGTGTAGAGAATGTTGCCAACTGTCCATGCAGTAAGCCAGTGCGTCTTCACATGAGGGGGATTGACAGTACGCGAATTGCTCATAGGGAATGAGTGGAGTAGCATAAGGGGTCCTGATATATTGGCGAAGCTGGTCATATACAATTCGCTCCAGTAGCTTGGAGGCTATCGGCAGGAGTGAGATGGGTCGGTACTTGGTTGGATCACTTCGGTCTCCTGTCATAAATACAGGGCAGATATTAGCAAGTTTGTATGGGCTGGGAAATACTCCAGTAGTTAGCGACTCATTAAAGATATCTCTCAGGGTTGCTGCGAGGTAGTGGTGATTGGCTTTGAGGATAGCAGCTGGTACACCATCTGAGCCAGTTGCCTTCCAAACATTAACTCCTTCCAGGAGCTTCTGCACTTCACCCACTGTGACGGGTCGGAATGTGACAACTGCCGACTCACTACATGCTCCACTCGGGATCTGGTATGTTGGAGCAAGGGCAGACAATGTTTCACAGATTTGGCCTTTAAATGTTACCGCCAGAGCAGGTACGTCCACTGGCAGGGTGCCAGATGGCTTCTGGCGTCCAAGCAGACGGTTGATGATCTTCCACTGAGCACGTACATCATGTCGACCTGCAGCAAACTGCTGAACAAAGTGGGTTTCCTTCAGGCGACGATTCAGAAGGGAATACTCACGGCGGGCTGCGCGGAAGGTTCGATGCGCAGACTCATTTGTACGGTATTTGAGCCAGTTTCTGTGCAAATGGGCTTTCCTTCTAATCAGCTGTGTCAGAGCTGGCGTAAACCATGGTGGAGGCGGAGGGTGAGAGGTAGCTGGGACAGAGCGCACAGGACAGAATTTGTTGAAGGCGTGCATAACTGGGCTTGTCCAGAAGGCGGTGAGCTCATCCAGCGACATGTCCGTGCAATTGATAGAGGTCAGGGAGTGTTCAACGGCAGTGCCGAACACACTTGCTGAGACACTTCGGATACTTGGTTTGCGAGCAGTGGTATGTCCAAGCAGGGTGCGATAAGGATTGCAGTGTGCAAACTCTAACTCAATGCCGACTAGGAAGTGATCTGTGACTCCATCAAGAGATTTCACAGTTACGGTCTTCAGTGCAGTATCCTTGTGCAAATCACAGGGAACGAGGATGAGATCAATACAGGTGTTACTGGGTACTCGTGTTGGTTCAGCAATGACATTACGAATGCAGAGACTGTCGCATAGACGTTGAAGATGTGGATATTGAGGGTGCTGCGATGGATGGAGAACATCGACATTGAAGTCGCCTAGAAGCAATAGTTGTGCACTCATTCCATGAATTACTACATTAACTGTATGTTCCAGATCCTCCCAGAAGGCAACTGGTGCTGTTGTTGGTCGGTACACACATCCAATACAGATTTCTCCAGCCCCAGATTTGCACTTGGTGGAAATTCTGAGAAATAGGGCTTCTACACTGGAACTCGGAATGCAGCTCAGTACTCTTACTGCTTCACGCACGAAAAAGCAGACACCTCCACCTTTGTTGAGTTTTCTATCATGTCGATATACCGTGTAGCCTGGTACATGGACGAGGGCGTCAGCCACACTGGTATCTCACCAGGTTTTCGTAACTGCAAGAATGTCAATCAAACTGGGTGAGCTGAGTGGATAGAGGATGTGGGTGATATCAGTTATCTTATTTCTTATGCTACATATGTTAAAGGGGAAGTTAAGGCAAAAATTAAAATTTCACCAGTTGTAGTCTTCGGGGTGCTGAGTCGAATGGTCTTGGTCCGAGAAAGCGAGAAAGCTGAGACGCTCCCTTCCTACTTGAATCCCAATCGAACTCGCGCACTTCCACCGAAACTGGGTGACTGCGCCCTACTAGATCGGGATTTGTATGCAAAATGTCACTTAAAGCGCCATTTCGTTCTTATAAAAGCACGGATGACCGCGATTGGCCCATATGTTGTAGTCTTTTGGACGCTGAGTCGACTGGTTTTGGTCTGAAAAAGCTGCGATGCAGCGCTCCTCCTTTATTCCCAATCGAACATGGTTAAACAAGCGGTCACGTGCTCCTGGTTGCCCAAATCACCTGGTCACCACGCCAGCAGGCGACAACTTTCACACCAAGGTTCAACTCGAGTGACAGGACTGCACCCAAAAAAGGTCAAACAGGCCAGTAAGTTGTACTCTGCAGGCACGGTGACCAGGTGACTGGCGTACGCAGGAGCACGTGACCGCTTGTTCAACCATGTTCGATTGGGAATAAAGGAGGAACGCTGCATCGCAGCTTTTTCGGACCAAAACCAGTCGACTCAGCGTCCAAAAGACTACAACATATGGGCCAATCGCGGTCATCCGTGCTTTTATAAGAACGAAATGGCGCTTTTAGTGACATTTTGCATACAAATCCCCATCTAGTAGGGCGCAGTCACCCAGTTTCGGTGGAAGTGCGTGAGTTCGATTGGGATTCAAGTAGGAAGGGAGCGTCTCAGCTTCCTCGGACCACGACCATTCGACTCAGCACCCCGAAGACTACAACTGGTGAAATTTTAATTTTTGCCTTAACTTCCCCTTTAATGTGGGCTATGCTAAGTGCCGCTGGCTGCTTACTTGTTTTCGGAGCTGTCTGGTGGGGGAGCCCTAGACATCCCTATGCTGCTGACTGTGTGGGGTGCGCATTGACCTGGCTGGTCATGTGGTGCGCAATGATCTGGTTGGTCATGTGGTTGCCATCGCCATCAAGGATATCACCAAATGGCATGATGCATTTGATCCCTTTGGAGCGGAGTTCCTTAAACACTGGAAGCATCTTCTTACGCTATCGTTATTGTTCTGGTGTGAGGTCATGGTGGGTAAATACTGGCTTGCTTCGGTATTCAAGCTTGAAACGGCCTTTTGAGAAAGGTCAGTTTCGCTTCCTTCGTGGCGAACATGACAAGGACAGGTCTATGGCGTACTGGTCCGCCGGATGATGACTCGCAAGACGCTCCCAGGCGCTCAGCTGAGACTACGGCCTCACGAACAGGTTCAGACATCAGGGATTTACACACTTCGAGAACGTTCTGGGGTGTTTCCTCCTTCAGGCCGTACAGTACGGCCTTGTTTTGCCTCTGGAAGCGCTCGAAATGCTCCTCAATCGCAACAGCTGGGGCTGCTTCTTTGACACGTACTCCAGGACCATGAGTGGAAGGAGACGTGCCGGCTACAGTACTCGCCAAAGTACGCACGGTAACGGTCTCACTGGGGGTCAGGTTTGGGGTTTCGAGGACCTGTACTCGTCTATCCAGGTCTTGGCAGATCTTCTTCATGTCTGCAGCTTCAACTACCAAAGCAGCCGCTCTTTGGTCGAGAACGTCAGTTAATGTGGCCAAAGCTTGATCAGTGCTTTTGACCACATTGTCCATGCGATCCGTCAGTGAGCGTACTGCAGCCCTTTGCACATCCTGACTGCTGCTTTCGGTTTTTCTTTGTATCTCTGCTTCATCATACTTGGCAGACAGGAAACCCATGCTCCCTTCTAGATCCCGTACGCTATTGTACGCTGTCTTCCAAGTACCGTATCTAGTACATTCAAGTGTGACTTTTCGGTACAGTTCATCTTTTTCTCCAGGGCGGTTAGTCGAGTATCCAAAGAACTACGAACCGCTCTCAGTTTTTGGCGAATATCATCAACGCCACTTAGAACCACACCAAGCTTCTCCTCCATCATTGCACTCATGCATGTCCGAAATTCATTCACGAGATAATCGGAACTTACGATATTACCACCACCATGATGGTCCAAAAGGGAAGGGGAGCCTCGGGTGGTGACAGGTTTGAAAGCTGATTGAAAGCTGATTTCGCACTCTCCGACCCACTGAGGGCATTCTCAGCTGAATGGTCGGAGAGCTCTCCAAGGTCGAAGGATGGCATTGGCTCGGCAATCACAGGAGCTCCTGGCGATGACTCCGCACTGCTAGCATGCTTCGCTTCGCTTCAATGAGGCATCCGGATCTCTTTGTGGGCTGCTAGCCAAGCCGCCGAGAATACGCCCCAGGCCCTCAAACGACATAATTCCAAAAAAAGAAAGAAAAAAGGCATGACAGGAAGTCTTTCTCGGAATGTTTAAAAGCAGTCTCCATCCTTCGCTACGGTTAATATGCGAAAATCAGCGCTCGTGTGTGTTGTCCTTTCTTGATATACTTGGCAAGAAAATTGATTATGGAACTGTGACGTCGGTGTACCATAAGCCGACGTTTCCCGGTCGGTATAATGGTCTACGCCATTCTACAAAAGCGAAGCTGCGGACACAGCAAACTCACAGCTCACGGTGACCATAGCAAAATGATGTCTGATGGTTTGCTAAGCACTGCTTGAAGGTGTTTTCTGTAAGGCCGCAGCAGACTGTGGGATCAGAGCGATGACCCACAGTTGCTTCGCAGATAATTTCAGTCGCCCGGCACGAACAATCTACAGGTGAGTCTGATTATGAGCGGCAGTTACATGGCAGGGTGTTAGCAGGAGGCGTGCATTCTCCGTTTCTGTGGCCGTTGATGATTGTTGCGATGTTCTACATGCAGCTGTAGCTTACTTTTAGTGTATTTGGGGAAAGACCTTGTGCTTCAATATCTACAAAAGCAACTGTTGAGTGGCATTCTGATCCCAAAATCAATTTTGCAGTGCAGAAAACACCTTCAAGCAGCTCTTCGCAAAGCATCAGACACCATTATGCCATGAGAAAAGCACTGAATTGTAAACGTTTGTGGACAAGCTAAAGGGAAAAGGCGAACTACGCAAAGTGAAGTGGGTCATCCACGACCGGGCCAAGTCACACTCTAAGCAATCAAAGTCCTGCAGCCTGTGCACAATGGAGAAGCTGAATATCCTGACAGCCGACAGGAGATCTTGCCTCATCAGATTTTTTTAACGCCGAACACCGTAGCAACCACTGCCCTGGATAACCCCTGTGCCACTGACTCCCTCCATTGGCCTTGTTCGAACAGTTCTGTCAATCCTGAACATGCCCCAGTGAGGATAGGCTAGGAGAGATACAGTGTTACACTCCGCTTTACCTCCTTATGCAATTAGGAATACAGTCATAGCATCTCACCTTGAAGTGGTCCACCACCAGGTAGTTGTGCATGAGCACAGAGCATAATGCTCAGGCTCAGCAGCAGAATAATTACATGTCTGATGGAAACTTGAACCATATTCGCTTTCTTCTTCCCAGGAGATGGGCCAGATAAGTATGGTTCTGAGAGGATGCCGTCACTGGCTGTAGTGTGTAGAAACATAAAAGAAGTGACAATATTATAGGAATGAATAACATAATGTGTGCGATCCGCGCTTGGAACACTCACTTCCAACTATTCCCACCTCCCTGATAGTTGTAAAGTCTTTTTCTACCGTTGCTACATTTTGCCTCTGTTCGACTACGCCGACACTGCATGGTGTTGTTTAAATTCAACTTTGTCCACAAAACTTGAAACGCATCATAGAAAGATTTGCAAACGGTTATTGACTGCTCAAGTTAGTTAGCTGTGCCCAATTAATGGCAATTATATGCTCGGACCACCTTATCTCCACTCTGTGAGCGCAGCCAAGCCCATTTATGTACCCTTGCTCAAAAAAATTATGCTAAACGAATTCCCCAACACTTGGAAAGGTATGACTTGTTCCAGTGTCAGAGACCTACTCGAAATCAAGTATCATTGCCTGTTCCTCGTTTGTCTGTATTTCTTAAGCTCACCGTTGTTTATGGCATTATTATAGCTTTTGGCACTCCCTTACCTATAGTATTCGATGTGCTGAGATACTTTCCGCTTTCAAGAAAGCTCTTCGTAAGTAATGCTCCAAGGGTGCGTTCTTAAATTCTCTAGCTTCTAGGAGAAGAAGAAAAGAGAAGTCGAAGAAACTGGGATTCTTCAAGAACGGGTCTCCAAGAATTCTGAAATATTCTGCAGATGTCAAGCAACATGAAGCGCCAAAGGGGCCGCGATCTTGAGTGCCACGAAAATAGTACGCGCTGTGCGTATGCGAAAAGGGAAATGCGTACACTCATGAACCACATGTGGCTTTTAGCCTAGTTCGCATGCGCTGATCCCAAACTGCGGGAATCTCCAAGTTCCAACCACCTCTGAAGCTTGGAGAGCTTTGGAGAGCCTCCTAAAATCCAGAGAGGATATAAGAACAGCTGTCGAACTTTTCGGAGTGTCCAACGTTTCCGAGAGGATTTAAGAACGCACCCTAAATATAATTTCTTCCTTCTTTTTCACAGGTTTGAGGGCATGATTCCTTCGTCTTTTTCCTTCTTTTACTTTACAGCAGTACGACTGTACAATCATGTACAACACCGTTTAGCCCTGGATGTTCTGTAGGCAAGGGTATGCTCTGTTTTTTTTGGAGAAGAAAGTGGTCTGATTCCCGAGAATGTTGAGGTATAGAAGCCAACGAGAGAGCTTGGAAGCTCAGGGCCCTACGCTATGCTTTTATCCTTTTTTGCCTAGCTCATCGTACATGTTATAAGAACTGATGGAAATGTCTCTTTCCGTTGATTGGCCCCATCACTGTATTGCAAAAACGTTGCAATCGGTTTGAATATTATGAGTTAGGCAAAAGTATTTGCAGAATTTATTGCGGATTGTTATTTCTCTAATAATCATCTACTTTTGTTTTGCTCCTTCTTTTCTTTTTATCTCCTTATACTGTAAATCAACAAATTTTGGCCGATGAGAAATAAAAACCTCTCTATTAGAGAGGTTAAGATGCACGTTATTTCCGACGTGACGCGCAATTTCACGTCAAATTTGAAATCGATCGGTATTTTTGCTCTCACATGCATCCATTGCTCAATCATGCATCATTTGCCTATAATTATGACAAACTTTGGCCTGCGATTTGCTTTGGCCGGTTGGTACCAAGCGGCGAACTCAGCGAAATTAAATCGCCAGCGAAAACTAGTTGGTTTTTAATACAGTAATAGGATTTTCTGACCTTTTTGTAGTAATACATGTACATAGACCTGTTGAACCAATGACGACGCCGAATGCATGGTTGCCTGTGGAGCACATTACATAACTTTACAGTCTCCTAAAATACGTATCCTGTCCGACGGCAAAAGAGGCTGCAGATTTAGTTTTTCTGCGCGTCGACGGGATGTCTACGAAGCGAAAGTTCAGCTCGCGTTATTTGGCTCGCACGTCGAAAAATCAACGCGAGTGACCTGCTGCTCACGTCGAAATTTGGACATTAGATAACTTTACGGTCTCCTAAAATACGTATCCTGTCCGACGGCACAATAGGCTGCAGATTTAGTTTTTCTGTGCGTCGACGGGATGTCTGTCCTGACGTTTACTGGGACCGGCGCTGACTCTGCCGATCACGGGCATTCTGGACTCGACGGGATGTCTGTCCTGACGTTTCCTGGGACCGGCTTAGACTCTGCCGATCACGGGCGTTCTGGACTCAACGGGATGTCTGTCCTGACGTTGCCTGGGACCGGCGGACTCTGCCGATCACGGGCGTTCTGGAGTCGACGGGATCTCTCTTCCGACGTTTCCTGTGACCGGCGCTGAATCGCTCGTTCACGCTTATTTTGGAGACGACGGGATCTCTCTTCCAAAGTATGTTTATGCTGACGCATCCTATCACCTATTCGGCGTCTATTCTAATTTAATTTCCTCCACGTCTCCCTATTTCTTTCCAAATTTCCCTCTACATCAGGGAGTCGTATATATAATACGACGAATATTGGTACGGTACGGGACAGATACAGGGGCCCGCAAATGTTGTGGACAGCTGTTATGTACAATCCTGTAGAGCCTTTGTAGTCACAGATACGGGACAGATACGGGATAGCTCCAGCCGTGACACAAACAAACAAACAAACAAACAAACAAACACCAAATTAAAGCTGTGTGGACCCTGGCTAGCGCCAGACGTTACTGAAGTAACGTCTTCTGCATAGCTACGGGAATAAATTTATTATGTTCTCTTCAAATACATACATTTCTATCCCCACTAGTTTATCCAGTGGTTTTTGAGGTTGTATAGCACTATTAGAAGCTCTGGCACATGATATGATCCATGAAAGAGGTCATGTAATTTCCCAGATTTGGATTTTTGCCAATTGGGCCTACAACAATACTGAAATTTACAACGCAGACACTATAAGCCTGTGATTAGCGTAGCTCGCCGAGATGTATTTGCAAAGTTAATCATTGGTCCAGCATCAGTGTAATACTCTGAAGTGCGTATGCGTGGCACGCAAGCAATTTGCAAACTGCATTTGTTTGGACAAGACTAGCATACAGGGAAAGCGTTCCGTGTATGGCTGGGTCAGTTTACCTGAGACAGTTGCATACGGTTTTCAAAGCCAGCCAGCTACTGGAGACTGATGAACACCTTCATCTATGTAATTGTCACTGGATTCCATTGTCCTGTGTGCCCTCGCACGGACTGAAATCATGCATTGCCAGATACTGTATGGCATAGAAATTTTGTCTCTTTTGACAAGAAACTCAAACAAATCATGATAGTAGAAAATGATCCACATACTAACCCCTTCCTGTGTTTTCTGGTGGATGAGTTGCCAAACAAGGCTGCATTAAAAAAGTTGGCTGATCACACAGGATCATTATAGAAAAAATCTGTCTGAACCGGATGACATTGGGTAATAATGCCTGTGCAAAATTGTCCACATCATGCACATATTGGTACACCGCAGCTTTATACCCGCAAGCATTTCGTTTAGTGTATTGTCTTCCATTGCTGCATTCTCGTCCATGTGTGTACCAGCAGCACTATGTTTCCGAGACCTGCGCAGTACGGTATTAGACAAATTTGGTGATGTGTTGAGACGTAGGTTGTCAGATTTCAACCCACCATGTACACAAAATGAATGGCGCGTTTACATGACGCATTGCGCTTGACCCGGGTTGAAATATCGCCCCCAAGGGGAGGGTTGAAATCAACCCGGGGCGAGATTGGGGGAGGGTTGAAATCAACCCGGGGCGAGAAATTGTACTAACGTACGTCTGTGCGTATCTCGCGCCAGGTTTGAATAGCACTGCACATGCAAATTTTGCGCGAAAGTATTCACGTGACCATACAGGACTATCGTACAGACTTTCAACCCGCAGAACCCCGGCTGAACTCGACCCGGGTTGAAAATTCTCATGTGAACACAGCCTAAGAGTACAGCCAATACACGGATGTGACTGTGAGGGTGACCCAACCACGGAAAGAGACTGGGTCGTTAGAAGTCATCACACAAACCCTGCGACACTGCGTGGCCTTACCTGAGGGCAGTTTGCAAAGCGCCGTCAACTGTTTGTCTGGAATCCCCAAATTGTACGAAGAACAGTTAGGCCGTGACTGCAGCCACAAAGCTGAAAACCCATCAACAGCACACAGGGTGGCGTCCGAAAGTCAAGTAAATCGTAATCCTATTTGAGGGAGTACCGCATCCTCAGCGACGAGTTGTCGTTGTAACGAAGGCACGATGGAAGTCATTTAGCTCGGACTCAGAGAGCGAGCAAAAACTCGCAATATTTGATTTGTCAGCCACGAAATGTTGGCTCGTGCTGCGTAGCGCTGGACTGCTTGTTTCATGCATGCAGCGTGTGTTTGTGTACGTGTGCGATCCCAGCAGTCAGCGTGCGGCAAGATGCTCTGACTCAGTTGTTCTCACAACCGCACCTCACACGGCAACGTACTTTTCACTGTTCCTCGTGACACTCACATAATATGTGTCAGTCTCTTAGCTTCCACCTGTCAATGTCGCGCGTATCCATAAATAAAATTAGGCATTATACTATTAATAGCTGCAAGGGAATTTTTACTAGACAGGCGATCTTACTGTCTTTGCAAGACCGCACACTCGGCAAAGTCTGGTCTACCGCTAGTATAGTCTGCTCATAAATTATAACTTTGCTACAAGTACGTACATGGTTTCATGCTGTCAGCCTGTCAATCTAACAATAGTACGTACATGTAGCAGTACTACATACTACTGTCGTAGACATGGAAATCCGGTCGCACGTCTAGCGGCCACAGGGCGCTGGCGATGCAGCCGTAGCATGTATGCGCTGCTAGCTGCTGGTCCAGGATCAACATGATTGTGCACTGCATGCAACGACTTACGTTCTGTACGCGCTGAGGGCGCCGGCCCCGGTCAATCGACTGGATTTCCATGTCCGCGACAGTAGTGCCTGGCTTGTGAGTAAACCCGTACTCCAAGACTAGTACAATCATGTACAAACGTTGTAGTGCCTGGCTATGTAGAGTCTACATGTACTGTAGTAGATCTACATCAGATGATGTACAGCCATGATCTTGTAGTTAGGCATTGGCGGATAATGCTCGAAAAGGTGGCAGATTCTGCTCGAAAAGCTGTGAAATTGGCAGAACCATACAAACCTTATGGCGGGCAATTCCTCGAATTCTGCTCCATTTCTTTATCCATAATATCAAACATGCATGAAACTTACCAGAAAAAGTACCGAATTCTGCCAATTTTTCTGCTGGTATTTTTCCAGCCGTGCTGCTACCCACAGTCAACTGGGAACTTGTGGCCAGGCACAAGGGGTACATGGATGCAGCTAATGGGGTCGTTCTTGGCACTTGTGCCAGTGGTTGTGAGACTTACCCACTCACCCCCACCGTTAGGCGCTGCATCTGCCGGGGTTTACCGGGTGTTAGCGGCCGTCGTGAGTTCCCTTCGGGAACGGACACGATAATTTACTTTTTTACTTTTACTTTTATTATCCGCAAATGCCTACTTGTAGTAATTATCTAATATTGACTGAGTCAATAATAAGAAATAAAGGTCACTAGTAAAAAGACCGAGGTGAAGCCGAGGTCTTTTACGAGATTATATTTCCTATATTGACCAAGTACGAAGTCAATATTAGATTTATCACAACTAGCCAAACCAGGTGTTCAATCCCTAAAAAGGAGTCAAATATAAGCAGTCAATGTAGCCATAACTCAAGGAGTGAAATCATGAGGCAGGAATATTTGCCTGCTTAAAACAATTCACGGTTTGCAGGAGACTCGGCTGAAAGCCGAGTTTTCTGCATCCATAGGAACGCCGCCACCCTCTAGGATCAAGGCGCAGATGCAGCTCCTAAGTGGTGGGAGCTCAGGTGAGTAGATCAGACCCACCACAAAGTGGTCAAAGACCGGAATCCCATTCACTCCATCCATGTTTCCCCCATGCCAGGTAGGCACCGGGCCACTGGCGGATTATGCCCGCGATATCATGGAATTATGCTTTCATGGATTCTCGCATTATGCTCGCAAAATCCTCATAATTATTATGCTTTGGCACGCGGGGATACATATTCACTTTGTCGTGCTTATGGAGCCTCAAAGTTTGGAAAATTGTGCCTTTTTCGTACTTGCAAGTGGCCATAAGTACAACAAAATACATGAGTATCCCCATACCAAGGTGTCCATGCATACTAGAGATCAACCTGGAAAAGAGAAAAAATTACTTCTTCTATTCATTAGTTGACTTCTTTTGCTTTGAAAGATTTTTTCCTTTCCTGAAAACTGTCATGTTCAACTGTCTTCGTAATCGTCATACTCGTCCAACCGATGTCACCCTAACCCTGCGAATTCTCATAAAAAAAATTTCAACGCAACCAAGCCTCTTGTATGGGCAAAATAAACACAATAATAATTATAACGAGTGCAACCTCAACAGCACCGGAAGAAAAACGAGCAAAAATGGCTGTGAAAACAGTCGAGAGAGCAAAAATGGCTGTGAAAACAGTCTAGTACTACAGTCTAATGTCACAAATTGGCTGCGAATTATCTTAATCAGCTCATTTCTCCCGTAGCTCCAGCTCTCCTTCAATCCGATGATTACAGAAAATTAACTATACCTCAATTTGTTTAATTATTAGAGCAATACCCATAGCCTGCACAGTCATAGCTGCTAAGATCCAGACGTCATGACTTCGTAACAAGCATAGTGTACAGTCATGTCCGCGGAGTTTTGCGGACTACCCATCACCATCTCGTCCGCCCCGGGATTTTTTTTTTTTTTTTTTACTACGTTCACATAACCAGCTCGAAAAGAATAAGGAAAGACAATGGTACGGAGACTAGGACAAACGTGACAACTATAATGAGCAGGCGCTACACCGAGACGCAGCAGTGATGGTGGGGCATTGATGACTCTGCCGACCTGAGGTCTCGGCGTCACGGCCAAAAACACGCACCAAAAACAATGAAAAAAGAAGAAGATAGAGCTGTACAGGTGAGAAAGATGCAAAAACCCAAGGCTTAACACGAGCGATTGGGGGGGGGGGGAGAAACTGTCTTAGCATCATACTATTCATAGGGAATCGACTGCCCAGAGCCAGTTTGTGCTGCGAAGATGGCGGTAAACATTCGTTTTGAATGATTGCATTCTCTTGCTGTGGGGAGGCTGGGATAGGAGAGCGGCAGGGAGGGAGTTCCAATCGCTGATGCTGCAGTGTGGGAACGAGCGCTTCAGTGCCAGCGGGGCAGATGCAGGCAGCTGGTGTTGGAGCTGGTGATCGGCTCGAGACATAGCTCATCAGTGCCCAATTCTCCTTCGGATAAGCCATACTTATTTTTGGCGTTCAGTTTCCCTTTAATGTCCATCATGAGACTTGGCTCTGCAGCAGCAAAACAACTGTAGCTGGAGGTAGGCCTGGGCGGATAATGTTAGTTATTTTGCGGTATAATGCTAATGGCAATGCCAGAAAAACTGTATCATAATGCTACTTGCAATGCTGCTGTTCCTCTGTAATGCCAGCAATTCACCAGTAGTAAGTATGGAAAATGGCTTGGTTTGGGCAGTATTGTGCATGCTTCGTGGTTCTATGTAGACGGTATGGAAAATGCTAGAAAATCATGATCATGATGCTAATTTTATGCTGCTATTGCTCCATACAATCCCTTGCAGCTAGCTGTCCAGCGAGGAAAGACTATGGAGGCCTCTTGATCTGCGCGCTCATTCGCCTGGCATTCAGTAGGACTTCATCGCCAAGGACTTCAATTCAAAACAGTTTTCACACTGCGCTTCAAGCCTTTTTCCTGGTGAACTTGCTGCAAACGTATGAGCTCTGCTGCGCGTGTTCCCTTTGCGTGAGGCCCAGAAACAGCTAGTATCTTCGTAATTCGATTGGCTGGATCGATGTCGTCCAGGTTCTCCTCGCTATCGCCATCACGACTCTCACTGGAGACAATTTTTTCACCATTTTCCGCAAGCAGCAGCTAGCGCAGAAATTTCGCCAACCCTGAGTGTAGGAGATGGAATCCGTTCGATCAGCTCAAAAACTCTTCGTTGTGACTAGAGGAGTAGCAGGGAATATTCTACCGGAAGCCCTTTGACTTCCCTGACTGCTGAAAACCTTCCTGCCATGACTGCTACTTCTTCAAACAAGCGAGATTCTCTTGACTTTGGTTCCACTTCACTGCACTCGAGCGTCCACACGACACAACCTTTTTTTTACAAAACATCATTTTTCTCCAAAAATGATTTTCACCCTAAGTCTGGTTTTCGCAGAAATAAGAGCCATTTTTTTTAGTATAATGCCACTTTTGCGGAAATGTAGTGTTATAATGCTAGCACAATGCTCGTTGCAAATCGCACACTATAATGCTACATATAATGGTAGCATTATCCGCCCAGGCTTAGCTGGAGAGGCCTTGGAAGAATTGTGTTCTGATCATCAACTCCACCAGCATGTCTTGCAGCCGACTAGGGGTCTGAACACCCTGGACCTCATCCTCTCCAACATACCCGTTTCTATCGACACCACTGTCAAAGCGCCACTTGGTCGCTCTGACCATGGGGTTGTTCTTGCCGACTTTTATCTCACCCCTTATGCTAAGCAAGCTACCTCCAGGACTGTCTGGCGCTACAATCAGGCAGACTGTAACAGATTCACTGTTACTACTAACACTAGGAATAGGATACACTTATCACCTGCTATTATCACGCTGCTGCTGTTAGGTGTTATGTCCATCATTGCTTGTTCATGTATATAAGAATGCATTATGGCAAGGATCATTGCTTATTCCAAGAATGACTACTGAAGTTCGTTGGACTGTTACACTGGTAGCAAGAGGATGGTTTTTCTTTTCGTCATGTTCGGGCTATGCGCAGTGGCCGCATTAGTCGCTTACGGTATATTCGAGATTCAGAAGCGTCTGAATCACCTTATCGCACTCGGTCAGTGCGATGGATCAGATCAAACGCCAAGACGTGCTCAAGCTCCCAGCGGAGAGAGGCCACGCATGCGCCATGTTAAGTCTCCGCCTGTGTTTCGTGGAGATACAAGAGAGTTCAAGGAGTGGGCCTTCGCCATCGAACTCGCCATTAAGTCCCTGCAGCTGGACAACGCGGAGGAGCGCTTGAGCTACGCGGCGAGTTTTCTGGAGGGCAACGCTCGTCTTTGGTTTATCGCCTCTCAGGAGGCAAACACGCTGTTTTCCGACTGGCCAGACCTGAAGAGCAAGCTGGGAGAAGTGTACGGCCCGGTTTATGACAGGGAACAGGCACGCATCG